ATAAATATTAATATAAATGAAATTAAATATTAATTTATTAGGTGAAATTTTAATTTAATTAAAATTTTATTTTGTAATATGATTTATTAAATTTTATAAAAAACTAGAATTAGATACTCTATTATTAAAAATTAAATAAATAATACTAAAATAGTATGTAATTATTTATAGAAACTTAAATAATTTGGCGGTATTTTAGTTCATTTAGAGGAATCTGTTTAATAATTGATAATCCACGAATAAATTTACTTAATTTAAAAATTTTGTATATCGTTGTTAAAAAAATATTTTTTAATAAAAATAATATTTAAGAATTTTTATAATAAATTAATTCAGATCAAGATGCAGATTATAATTAAGAATATAATGGATTACAATAAGAAATGATTAAATGAATAATATATTTTAATATATATTTGAAGGTGGATTTAAATGTAATTTTATTTAATTTATTAAAATGATTAAAAATTGAAATATGTACATATTGCCCGTCGCTTTCATTAATAAATTGAAATAAGTCGTAACAAAGTAGATGTACTGGAAAGTGTTTCTAGAAAAATCAAATTAGAGCTTGAATAAGTATTTCATTTACATTGAAAAGATATTAAATTTAATTAATTTGAGGGGGAAAAATTAATAAAAAAAAATAATAAAAAAATTTTTAAAAATATATTTAATGGGGGTTAAAGTATATATATAGAAAAAATTTTTAAATTTATAGTAAATTAGTATTGTAAAAGAATTTTGAAATACGGGGGTAATTCAATAAAAAGTAAATTTAGTTTGTTGTATCTTGTGTATCAGAGTTTATTAATAATTTTTTTTAGGTAAAAATTTCTCGAATTTAAAAGAGTTAATTAATTATAAAAGTTAATGTGGTATAATTATTTAAAATAATTAATTGGAAATGAAATGTTAATCGTTTTTAAAGATATCTAGTTTTTTTAGAAAAAAATTTAATTTTAAATATTATAATTTAAATTTTTTATTTTATAAAATTTTATTTATTAATATTAAATATTTTAAGGGATAAGCTTTAAAATAAATTTTTATAATTAATTTTAAATTTAAAATTAAAATTTTAAAATTTAAATTGTTAAATAAATTATAGTTTTTTATAAATAATTTAATTTTTATTAAAATTTAAAATAAAATTTAATTTTTTATAAAAAAATATATTTTAATATGATAAAATTAGATATAATGATAAAATTAGTATATAAATTTTAATAGAAAAATTAATTTATGATAAGTTATTTAAAGGAATTCGGCAAAATATTATATTCACTTGTTTATCAAAAACATGTCTTTTTGTTAATAATTAAAAGTCTAATCTGCCCACTGATAAAGTATTAAAGGGCTGCAGTATTTTGACTGTACAAAGGTAGCATAATCATTAGTCTCTTAATTGGTGACTTGTATGAAAGATTGGATGAAATATATACTGTCTCTATTTAATTAATAAAATTTAATTTTTTAGTAAAAAAGCTAAAATAATTTTAAAAGACGAGAAGACCCTATAGAGTTTTATAATTTATTTAATTATTATTAATATATTAATTATTTAAATTAAAATTAATTAAATTATTTTATTGGGGTGATAAAAAAATTAAATTAACTTTTTTTAATATTTTACATTGATTTATGAATATTTGATCCATTTATAGTGATTAAAAGAAAAAATTACCTTAGGGATAACAGCGTAATTTTTTTTTTTAGTTCAAATAGGAAAAAAAGTTTGCGACCTCGATGTTGGATTAAGATAAAATTTAAATGCAAAAGTTTAAAATTTTGATCTGTTCGATCATTAAAATCTTACATGATCTGAGTTCAAACCGGTGTGAGCCAGGTTGGTTTCTATCTTTAAATATAATTTAATATTTTAGTACGAAAGGATCAAATATTAGAAATAATTTTAAAAATATATGAATATTATTAATAATTTAATAGCTATTTTGGCAGAAAAAATGTAATGATTTTAGAAGTCATAAATATATAAATTATTATATATATAGTAAATGATAATTAATGATTGTTTTTTATATATTATTGGGGTTTTAGTAATAATTATTGGGGTGATAGTAGGGGTTGCTTTTTTAACTTTATTAGAACGTCAAGCTTTAGGATATATTCAAATTCGAAAAGGTCCTAATAAGGTTGGTTATATAGGAATTTTACAACCTTTTGCTGATGTAATTAAGTTATTTACTAAAGAACAAACTTTTCCTAATTATTCAAATTATATAGTTTATTATTTTTCACCGGTAATTAGATTTATTATTACTTTAATATCTTGATTATTAATTCCTTATTATTTTAATATAATTAGATTTAATTTAGGTATTTTATTTTTTTTATGTTGTACAAGAATAGGGGTATTTACAGTGATAATTGCTGGTTGATCTTCAAATTCAAATTATGCTTTATTAGGGGGTTTACGAGCTGTAGCTCAAACGATTTCTTATGAAGTTAGTTTAGCTTTAATTATATTATCAAGAGTTATTATAATTATAAATTTTAATATAATTAATTTTTTTTTTTATCAGGAATATATTTGATTTTTTTTTTTGATAATACCTTTAAGATTATGTTGGTTATCTTCAAGATTAGCAGAAACTAATCGAACTCCATTTGATTTTGCTGAGGGGGAAAGAGAATTAGTTTCTGGGTTTAACGTAGAATACAGAAGAGGTGGATTTACTTTAATTTTTTTATCAGAATATGCTAGAATTCTTTTTATAAGAATATTATTTATTTTATTATATGTAGGGGGTTATAGATTAAGATTAATTTTTTATTTAAAATTATCATTTATTTCTTTTATGTTTATTTGAATTCGTGGAACTTTACCTCGTTATCGTTATGATAAATTAATATATTTATCATGAAAAAGATATTTACCTATTTCATTAAATTATTTATTGTTTTTTTTAGGGTTAATTATTTTTTTTTATTAGTTAATTTTTTTAGTATAAATTAATAGAATAGTAAATTCTTTCTTAAGTTTTCAAAACAAATGCTTTTACAAGCTCATTAATTAAATTATTTAAAAATTAAATTATCTCAATATTTATTAATAATTGGGTTAATAATAAAATAAGAAAAATATAAGAAAGTTAATAATTGACTAGTAATAATATAAGGTTCTTCTACTGGTCGAGCTCCAGCTCAAGTTAATAGTATAATAGTAGTGATTATAATTCAAAATAAAATTTGATTTATAGGGTAAAATTGAATTCCTTGAATTTTTTTATTGAAGGTTAAAGGTAGAATAATTAAAATTAAAATAGATATTATTAAAGCAATAACTCCTCCTAGTTTATTTGGAATTGAACGTAAAATAGCATAAGCAAATAAAAAATATCATTCAGGTTGAATATGAACAGGGGTAACTAAAGGATTAGCTGGAGTGAAATTATCTGGATCTCCTAATAGATAAGGATTAGATAAAGTTAATAATCTTAATATAAACAATAATAAAATAAATCCAATTAAATCCTTAAAGGTAAAAAATGGATGAAAAGGAATTTTATCTAAATTTCTATTTATTCCTAATGGATTATTTGATCCTGTTTGATGTAAAAATAATAAGTGGATTATTGTTAATATTAAAATAATGAATGGTAATAAAAAATGAAATGAATAGAATCGTGTTAAAGTTGCATTATCGATTGCAAATCCCCCTCAAATTCAATTGACTAATATAGATCCTAGATAAGGGATGGCTGATAATAAATTAGTAATTACTGTGGCTCCTCAAAAAGATATTTGTCCCCAGGGTAAAACATATCCTATAAAGGCTGTTGCTATTAATATAAATAAAATAATAATTCCTACTATTCATGTGTATTTTAAATTAAAAGATTCATAATAGATTCCTCGGCCAATATGTAAATAAATGCAGATAAAAAAAAAAGAAGCTCCGTTAGCATGAAGAGTACGAATTAATCATCCATAATTTACATTTCGACAAATGTAGTTAACTCTATAAAAAGCTAATTCAATATTTGCAGTATAATATATAGTTAGAAATAATCCTGTTATAATTTGAATAATTAAACATAAAGCTAGAAGAGATCCAAAATTTCATCAAGATGAAATATTAGAGGGAGAAGGTAAATCAATTAAAGAATTATTAATAATTTTTAATAAGGGATGAGTTTTTCGTAAAGGTAAAAATTTATTTATCATTAGTATTTAAATTAATTAATAATTAATAGATCGTAGAGGACCAAAAAAAATATTTGTAATTTTTACAATAGCTACTAAAGTAATAAAAAGATAAATAATTAATATTATTATTATGAATTGATTTTGATTATTATATAATTTAGATAAATTAATTTTATTTTCATTGTTAAAAAAAATAAAAAAATTTATTATATTATTTATTTCGTAGTTAAATGAAAAATTTAATCAATTTATATTATATATTTGATTGATTCTTATAATAAAAGTTAAAATAAATAATAAAAATATAATATTTTTTATGAAAAAATTTATATTAAATAATTCATTAGAAGCTACTCTTGATACATAAATGAATAAAACTAATAGACCCCCTAAAAATACTAAAAATAAAATATAAGAAAATCAATAAGAATTGATTAATATACCAGACAATAAACAAACAATAAGGGTTTGAATTAAAATTATTAATCCTATTGATAGGGGATGATTAAGAAATAATATTATAGAAGAAAATATAATAATTAATAAAGAGAAAAATATTTTTAACATTTCAAAGAATAGTTTATAAAAATAATAATTTTGGAGATTATAGATAAAGAGATTCTTTTTCTTTGAAGTTTTTAAAGATTTAACTTATTTTTGATTTACAAGACCAATGTTTTTTTTTAAACTATAAAAACTAATGATAGTATTAAATATATGATTAATTATTTTAATAATATTTATTTTTGGAAATATAATTTTTATTTCTAAACATAAACATTTATTAATTGTTTTATTAAGATTAGAATTTATTGTTTTAAGAATTTTTTTTATATTACTTTTATATTTAAGTTTTATAGAATATAATATATATATATTAATAATTTTTTTATTATTTTCAGTTTGTGAGGGGGCATTAGGTTTATCTATTTTGGTTTCTATAATTCGAACTCATGGAAATGATTATTTTCAAAGATTTAGTATATTATAATGATAAAATTTTTATTAATAATGATTTTTATAATTCCTTTATGTTTTTTAAAAAATATATTTTGAATGGTTCAATTAATATTAATAATAATAATATTTATATTTATAAATTTAAATATAAATATTACAAATTTTTGTAATCTTAGATATATAATAGGATGTGATATAATTTCTTATGGTTTAATTTTATTAAGAATTTGAATTTGTTTATTAATAATTATGGCAAGAGAAGATTTAAATAAGAAAAATTTTTATATTAATTTTTTTTTATTTAATATTATTATTTTATTAATTATATTATATCTAACTTTTAGAGTGTTAAATTTATTTATATTTTATTTATTTTTTGAGGGGAGATTAATTCCTACGTTAATATTAATTATTGGTTGAGGTTATCAACCAGAACGAGTTCAAGCTGGGATATATTTATTGTTTTATACTTTGTTTGCTTCTTTACCAATATTGATGGGAATTTTTTTTTTTTTTTTTAATTATAATTGTTTAATTATATATTTTTTAAAATTTTTTAATAGAAATTTTTTTTTATTATATTTATCTATAATTTTAGCTTTTTTAGTAAAAATGCCAATATATTTTGTCCATTTATGACTTCCTAAAGCTCATGTAGAAGCTCCTGTTTCGGGGTCAATAATTTTAGCTGGGATTATATTAAAATTAGGAGGTTATGGTCTTTTACGGATTATAATTGTTTTTCAAAAAATTAATATAAAATATGGATTAATTTGAGTAGTAATTAGATTATTAGGGGGTTTATATATTAGATTAAATTGTTTTTGTCAAGTTGATATAAAGTCATTAATTGCTTATTCATCTGTGGCTCATATAAGATTGGTAATTTGTGGAATTATAACTATAAATTATTGGGGTTATTTAGGTTCATATATTATAATGATTGGGCATGGATTGTGTTCTTCAGGAATATTTTGTTTAGTAAATATTAATTATGAACGATTGCAAAGACGAAGATTATTTATTAATAAGGGTATAATAAATTTTATACCTTCTTTAAGTTTATGATGATTTTTAATTTTATCTTCCAATATAGCAGCACCTCCATCAATAAATTTAATAGGGGAAATTAGATTAATTAATAGAATTGTTAGATGATCTAATTTAACTATAATTACTCTTATTATAATTTCTTTTTTTAGAGCTGGGTATAGATTATATTTATATTCTTATACACAACATGGAAAATATAATATAAGTATTTATAGTTTTTATACAGGTATTTCTCGGGAATATTTAATGTTATTATTACATTGATTACCTTTAAATTTATTAATTTTAAAAATTGATTTTTTTATAATTTGATTTTAATTTAAATAATTTAAGTAAGTAAAATATTGATTTGTGGAGTCAAAAATATGAAATTTCATTTTAAATCATAAAAAAATTTTCAATTTGTTTTATTAGTTTTTTTTTTTGTTTTATTTTTAGAATAATTAATTTTTTTTTTTTTGTTTATTTTATTATGGAAAATATAACTTTTTTTTTAGAGTGGGAAATTATTTCTTTTAATTCAATAAGAATTGTAATATCTATTTTGTTAGATTGAATATCTTTATTATTTATAATATTTGTATTAATAATTTCATCATCAGTAATTTATTATAGAAAGAGATATATATCTTCAGAATTAAATTTGAATCGTTTTATTATTTTAGTTTTATTATTTGTATTTTCTATAATTTTATTAATTATTAGTCCAAATATAATTAGAATTTTTTTAGGTTGAGATGGCTTAGGTTTAGTTTCTTACTGTTTAGTTATTTATTATCAGAATATTAAGTCTTATAATGCTGGAATATTAACTGCTTTATCTAATCGTATTGGAGATGTAATAATTTTAATAGTAATTTCTTGAATAATAAATTATGGAAGGTGAAATTATATTTTTTTTTTAAATTTTATAAATAATGATTATATAATAAAAATTATTGGATTTTTATTGATTGTTGCTGCTATAACAAAAAGAGCTCAAATTCCTTTTAGATCTTGATTACCTGCTGCTATAGCTGCTCCTACTCCAGTTTCTTCATTAGTTCACTCTTCTACGTTAGTGACTGCTGGAGTTTATTTATTAATTCGATTTAATTTAATATTAGTTGATATATTTTTTTTAAAAATTTTATTATTATTATCAGGGTTAACTATATTTATAGCTGGGATTTCTGCTAATTATGAATTTGATTTAAAAAAGATTATTGCTTTATCAACATTAAGACAATTAGGATTAATAATAAGAATTTTAAGAATAGGAATACCAGATTTAGCTTTTTATCATTTATTAACTCATGCTATATTTAAGGCTTTATTATTTATATGTGCTGGAGTGATTATTCATATAATAAATGACATTCAGGATATTCGTTATATAGGGGGAATTAGAATATATATTCCTTTGACAAGTTTATGTATAAATATTTCGAATTTAGCTTTATGTGGAATTCCATTTTTAGCTGGATTTTATTCTAAGGATTTAATTTTAGAAATAGTAAGAATAAGAAATTTAAATTTAATAATTTTTTTTTTATATTATTTTTCTACAGGTTTAACTATATATTATACAATTCGTTTATTATTCTATTTAATAGTTAATGATTATAATTTGATAGTTTTATATAATTTATATGACGAAGATTATACAATATTAAAAAGAATATTTATATTATTATTTATAAGATTAGTTGTTGGGAGATTTTTAAGATGAATAATTTTTAATTATCCTTATATAATTTATTTATCTATTAATATAAAAATAATAGTTATTTATGTTATATTAATTGGTTTATTAATAGGTTATTTAGTTAGAAATATAAAAATTTATTCAATAAATAAGTTTTTAATAACTTATAGATTAAGAAATTTTTTAAGTTTAATATGATTTATACCAAGACTTTCTACTTATAGATTAAATATTTATTTTTTAAAAATAGGACATAAATTATCTAAAAATGTTGATATAGGTTGAAGAGAATTATATAGAGGTCAAGGTATATATAATATTATTAAAAATTATTCTGTTTTTTATAATTTTTATCAAATAAATAATTTTAAAATTTATTTATTTAGATTTTTTTTTTGAATATTAATTTTTTATTTAATATTATTATTGTAAATTTAAATAGCTTATAAAGAGCATAATATTGAAGATATTAAGGAGATTGTAAAATCTTTAAATATTTATAAAAAAAATTTTTTTATTTTTACAATGAAAATGTAATGTTTTTATAAACTATATAAATAAATTAGAAATATTAATAGATATTATCTACTATAATTTAAGTTAGAAGCTTAATTTTTTATATTTCTTTAATTGGAATAAAATTCATTAATGTCATTAACAGTGACATACCTCTATTTTGGTTTCAATTAAAAATATGGAGTAGAATACTCTTTCTTTTAAGTCGAAATTAAATGCATAATATTGCTTCATATTTAAGATAAATTGGAATCAATATTTTTTGAATGCAAATCAAATGTTTTTTATAAACTATAATCCTAGTTTGTTCAATTTAATATATTTTGATTTCATTCATGGTAAAGACCTAATAAAAGTATTAATAAAAAGAAAAATCTAATTTTTATTATAGAAAAAAAATTTACTAATTTAAAAGAATAAATTATAGGGAAAATTAAAGCGATTTCTACATCAAAAATTAAAAAAATTACTGTGATTAAGAAAAAATGTAGTGAGAATGGGATTCGAGCTGAAGATTTAGGGTCAAATCCACATTCAAATGGGGAGTTTTTTTCACGGTCTATAAATGATTTTTTTGATATGATAATTGTTAAAAATATTATGATATTAGAAATTAAAATAATTAAAATTGAAATAATAAATAATAAAATAATTATTTATATTAATTTAAATTAAACATTTTGATTGGAAATCAAATATACTAAATATATTATATAAATAAGTTAATTACCTCATCAGTAGATAGATACATAAAGGAATAGTCAAACTACATCAACAAAGTGTCAATATCAGGCTGCTGCTTCAAATCCAAAATGATGTTTACTAGAAAAATGAGAATTTAAGTGACGAATAAAACAAACAGATAAGAAAATTGTTCCAATAATTACATGAAGACCATGGAACCCTGTAGCTATAAAGAAAGTTGACCCATAAATAGAATCTGCGATAGAAAATGGAGCTTCAATATATTCGTAAGCTTGGAGAATAGAAAAATAAATTCCTAAAATAATAGTAATAAATAAACTTTGTTTAGTTTGGGAAAAATTATTTTCTATAATTGCATGATGAGCTCAAGTTACTGAAACTCCTGATGTAATTAGAATAATAGTATTTAAAAGAGGAATTTGAAATGGGTTAAATGGAATAATTCTAGAGGGAGGTCATATAGCACCAATGTCAATATTAGGTGAAAGTCTTCTATGAAAAAAAGCTCAAAAAAATGAAATAAAAAAAAAAATTTCTGAAATAATAAATAGGATTATTCCTCAACGTAATCCTTTAGATACTATAATTGTATGACTACCTTGATAAGTTCCTTCTCGACAAATATCTCGTCATCATTGATATATAGTTAATAAAATAATTATGTAGCCTAAAATTATTAAGTTTATATTAAATTCATGGAATCATTTAATTATACCTGTAACTAGTGTTATTACTCCAATTGCTCCAGTAAGAGGTCAAGGACTATAGTCTACTAAGTGAAAAGGGTGATTATTATTTATTGACATTAGTTAAATTAGTTAACTTCTCTAGAATATAATGTTCTTAAAATAGAAATTACGTAAGCTTGAATAACCGCAACTGCTGATTCTAAAATTAATAATAAAATTTGTAAAAAAATTAAAATAAATAATAAGAAAAATGATATATTGTTTCCAGTTCTTCTTAAAAGAGTTAATAATAAGTGTCCAGCAATTATGTTAGCAGTTAAACGAACAGCTAAAGTTCCTGGACGAATAATATTTCTAATTGTTTCAATTAATACTATAAAAGGTATTAGAATAGAAGGAGTTCCTTGAGGAATTATGTGAATAAATATATGTTGATAATTATTAATTCATCCATATAATATAAATCTTAATCATAAAGAAAGAGAAATAGATAAAGAAATATTAAGATGACTTGTTCTTGTAAAAATATAAGGAAATAATCCTAAGAAATTATTAAATAAAATAAATGAAAATAAAGAAATAAAAATGAAGGAAGATCCTTTATTTAATTTATTATTTCCTAATAATATTTTAAATTCATTATGAAGTTTATTTAAAATAAAGTTTCAAAAAATAAATTGTCGATTAGGAATAGTTCAGAAACAAAAAGGAATGAATAATAATCCAATAAAGGTTCTAAATCAATTTAAAGATAGATTAAAAATATTTGTTGATGGATCAAAAATAGAAAATAAGTTATTTATCATTTTCAATTTAAATTTTTAAAATTTTTATTATTTTTTTTATTATATTTATTATTATTAGTGTTATTAGTTATATAAATATAATAATTTATAATATTAAAAATAATAAAAATTATAATAAATAAAATAAATGAAATAATTCAATTAATGGGTATTATTTGAGGAATAAAAGAATATTACTAAGGTAATAATTTAAATTTGACATATTTATGTTATATTTTAACTAATTCTTTCATTAGAAGTAAATGCTAATTTACTATAAAATGGTTTAAGAGACCAGTACTTGCTTTCAGTCATCTAATGAGGAATAATTATTAATTCAATTAATAAAATTTTTAATGGAAATTCTTTCAATTATAATAGGTATAAAACTATGATTAGCTCCACAAATTTCTGAACATTGACCAAAAAAAATACCTGGACGATTAATAAATAGATTAGTTTGATTTAGACGACCAGGATTAGCATCAATTTTTACACCTAATGATGGAATAGTTCAGGAATGGATAACATCTGTAGCAGTAACTATAATTCGAATTTGATTATTCATAGGTAAAATAATTCGATTATCAACATCTAATAAACGAAAATTATTAATATTAGATTTATCATAATTAATTATATATGAATCAAATTCTACATTATTAAAGTCAGAATATTCATAACTTCAGTATCATTGATGACCAATTGATTTTAATGTAATTAAAGGATTATTTAATTCATCTAAAAGATATAATAGACGTAAAGAAGGTAAGGCAATAAAAATTAAAGTAATTGTAGGAATAATAGTTCAAATTAGTTCAATTATTTGTCCTTCTAATAAAAAGCGATTAATATATTTATTAAAAAATAAATTAATTATTAAATAACCTACTAAAATAGTAATTATAATCAAAATAATTAATGTATGATCATGAAAAAAAATAATTTGTTCTATTAAAGGGGAAGCTCTATTTTGAAGATTAAAGTTTGATCAAGTTGCCATTTCTAAAAAAAGGATAATTCCTTTATAAATGGGGTTTAAATCCATTACATATAGTCTGCCATATTAGAAATTTCTTAAAATAGGAAGTTCATTATATGAATGTTCAGCAGGAGGTAAATTTTGTAATCATTCAATAGAAGAAGGTATATTAAGTGAAAATAAAATAATTCGTTGGTTAATAAATGATTCTCAAATGATTATTATTATTATTATTAATGATAATAAGGAAATATATGATCCAAATGAAGATAAAATATTTCATGATATGAAGTTATCGGGGTAGTCAGAATAACGACGAGGTATACCTGCTAATCCTAAAAAATGTTGGGGAAAAAAGGTTAAATTTACTCCGAAAAATATAGTAAAAAATTGAATTTTTAGTAAGTAAGGATTTATAGAAAGACCTGTAAATAAAGGATATCAATGAATAAATCTTCCTATAATAGCAAATACAGCTCCTATAGATAATACATAATGAAAGTGAGCTACAACATAATATGTGTCATGAAGAGTTACATCAATTGATGAATTAGCTAAGATTACTCCTGTTAATCCTCCTACTGTAAAAAGAAATACGAATCCTAATCTTCATAAAATTGATGGTCTATAATTAATTTGTGTTCCATGAAAGGTAGCTAATCAACTAAAAATCTTAATTCCTGTAGGGACTGCAATAATTATTGTTGCAGAAGTAAAATAAGCTCGAGTATCGGTATCTATACCAACAGTAAATATGTGATGAGCTCAAACAATAAAACCTAATAATCCAATTGCTATTATAGCATAAATTATTCCTAAACACCCAAATGTTTCTTTTTTTCCACTTTCTTGGGAAATGATATGTGAAATTATTCCAAATCCCGGTAAAATTAAAATATAAACTTCTGGATGACCAAAAAATCAAAATAAATGTTGATAGAGAATAGGATCTCCCCCTCCAGCAGGATCAAAGAAAGATGTATTTAAGTTTCGATCTGTTAATAATATGGTAATAGCACCTGCTAAAACTGGTAAAGAGAGAAGTAATAATAAAGCTGTAATTCCTACTGCTCAAACAAATAAAGGTATTTGATCGAATGATATATTATTAATACGTATATTAATAATTGTAGTAATAAAATTAATTGCTCCAAGAATTGAAGAAATTCCTGCTAAATGTAGGGAAAAAATAACTAAATCAACTGATCTTCTACCATGTGCGATATTAGAAGAAAGAGGGGGGTAAACAGTTCATCCAGTTCCAGCTCCATTTTCAACAATTATTCTGGAAATTAATAGAGTTAAAGAAGGGGGTAATAATCAAAATCTTATATTATTTATTCGGGGGAAAGCTATATCGGGGGCTCCTAATATTAATGGGATTAATCAATTTCCAAATCCTCCAATTATAATAGGTATAACTATAAAAAAAATTATAATAAAAGCATGAGCTGTAACAATAGTATTATAAATTTGATCATCACCAATTAATGAACCTGGGGTTCCTAATTCAGTTCGAATTAATAAACTAAGGGAAGTTCCTAATATACTTGCTCAAATACCAAAAATAAAATATAATGTTCCAATATCTTTATGATTTGTTGAATAAAGTCATTTTCGCGTAATAAAATGGCTGAAATATAGGCGATAAATTGTAAATTTATATATGAGAATAATCTCTTTTATTAAGCTTTATATTCAATAATGATATAAAATTGCAAATTTTAAGGAGTATAAATTAAATACTAAGGCTTAAAGAATTTCTTTTTTTATAATTTTGAAGATTATTAGTTTATATAACTTAAAACCTTATATAAAAAAAAAAGTTCTAATAATTATACCTAATAAAGAAATTATTCTAAAAAAATTAATAAATGATATTGAATTATTATTTAAATAAAATTTAAATCATTTTAATTTTAAATAATTAAATATAATACAAGAATAAATAACACGAATATAAAAAAATAATATAATTAATCTTATTATAATAAAAATAAATGAAATTAATAAAAAATTATTTATAATTAAAAAATTAATAGTAATTCATTTAGGAAAAAATCCTAGAAATGGGGGAAGTCCTCCTAAAGATAAAAAATTAATTATTAAAGAAATTTTTATAATCGAATTTATATTAATAAAAAATAATTGATTGATAAAATAAGCATTTAATATATAAAATAAAAAACATAAAATTCTAATTAAAAATGAATATATAATTAAATAAAATATTCATAAATTTTCTCTAATAAGTAAAGTAGTTAATATTCAACCTAGATTATTGATTGAAGAAAATGCTATTAATTTACGTAAGGAAGTTTGATTAATACCTCCTAAAACTCCAATAACAACATTAATAATTATGATTATTATTAAAAAATTATTGTTTATGTAATAAGAAAGAAGAATTATAGGGGAAATTTTTTGTCAAGTTATTAAAATAAAACAATTTAATCATGATAAACCTTCAATAATATTAGGAAATCAGAAATGGAAGGGGGAAGATCCTATTTTTATTAATATAGAAGAGTTAATTATAATTGAAATTAAATTATTAATTTCAAAATTTTTTAATAAAATTATTTTGATTAAAATAGAAAATAAAAAATTAATAGAAGCAATAGCTTGTGTTAAAAAATATTTTAGTGCTGCTTCAGAGGATAAAAGATTTTTATGACTGGAGATTAGGGGGATAAATCTGAGTAAATTAATTTCTAAGCCAATTCAGCATCCTAATCAAGAATTAGAGGAGATTGAAATTAAAGTTCTAAAAATTAAAATGAAATAAAAAAATATTTTATTTGAATTAATATTTAAAAAAATTTAAAATAGGGGAATTAAGTTAAATTAAAAATTTAATATT